GACACAAAAATGTGTCTCCAGCCAAAAACTTCAACAATACTTGGCCAATAAATCTTTAGCTATAATATCCTCAAAATGTATTATGCTAACCTTTTAATTTGCATAGATAAAATTGGCTTACAGTTTAGTTTCATCCTGCACATCTCATACATTTATAATTTTAGAACTCTATAATGCTTGTGAGAAATTATATGTTTGCAGAACAAAAGAACTGGACACCAGAGATGCTGGATCAAACCTAACAGAATCATTCTTCAGCGTGCTGAGAAATTGACACATCTGTTCCAGCATCTTGCATGTTCCAGCACTGTGCTTGTTCCTGCCTCAACTTCTTCAACTGCTGTTTCTCATCAAAGCCTGCTCCCAAAAGAACTTTGAAGAAAGTTACTAATTTTAACTGGTCCAGCATTTTAGACTGTTCCAAAAAGGACTTTTATTAAGCCTGAAATTTCTCAACATTCAAATGTTATTGGACCACAAATGTTACTGCTTGCTTAATTAACCATTTTTATTTGGGCCCCCTACAGGATTTCTACATGTCCACAATGTCAGCTAGAAGAAACTCATGAGAACGGCATCCAATTTCCTTTAAAGGGGGTTGGGTATGTTTTTGGTTGTTTGCTATGGCTACGAAATTTTTTTGTCATTAGGAGATGTTTATTATTAACGGTCTTATTCAAAGTAAAACAAGGAATATACAGGGATATTTTATAAAAATAGAAAAAAGGGTAGATTATTGAATCTACTCAACTTAAGGTTTTATTTGTTATTACCAAATAAGGTTAATTTTAACTCTGGTATAGGATTTTGCATATTGATGCAAAAATAAGTATTTTTAATACATTGGTATAAGCTTTACTATATTGATAGAAAGTCAAGGTTACTTCCAATACTTTTAAACTATTATTAAAAGGTGGTTAGGATATTAGGTATGTAAGTTAATTATTAGTTATTCAACTCATAGTCATTTCAGACACTAGTCTAATTTATCACAGGAGAATATCTCGTAAGTTTGACAGATAGACATGATTTTGTATACAAAGCGATTACATAAAGATAGGTAGTCTTCAAAAACTTCAGAGACCTACAGAATATGGTATTTAAAATGTTCTTGTTATTTTAAAGATTCTTTGACAATGAGACAAGTCATCTCCTGGCAGCACCCGCCTACCTGAAAGAAGATAATGAGCATCGAAGAACCTCCATATGGAGATGGCTTCAAATGTGGCAATCAAGCCACTCGGGTAAAGAAAATACCCTCACTTCACAACAGACAAATTCTACCTAAAATGGGCAAGCTTAAATACAGGACAAGTCGACGGCCGAACTCTGCCAAGACAGGGTAAGCAAGTCCTAAATAGTTCCTGCTTCACGTATGTCTGTCAAAATATTCTGAGCTGGAAGGCTGAAGATGATGCTCCAATGTTATAGAGAGTTATGGGTGACTAACTGTTCAGCAGCAAACTGTCTCTGTCAATTTTTTATTTTTTGGAAGCTGCTAACATGCACTTCCTATTTACTCTCATAACTAATTTTATTCCTTCTCAAGTCTCTGATGGGGTCGAAGACCAAGTAGTTACAGTATCACATTTAAGATTAAGTTGTTTAGAAATTAAGAAATATTTTTATATAGGTAATACCAATAAGGATAAAAGTTAATTTAGGTATAGAATTTTAAACTTGTCAAGATAGATAGGATAATCAGATACTTTCTCCTAAGATACTCTCTCCATGTGCTAAATACACATGGACTAGACATTGCACGTGTAGATCTTACCTAACAGTTTTCATAATTTCATAATTATTGTTGTATTGAAAGAAAAGGAGCCTTTTATTGGACTTAAAGGGGGAAATGCTGGTATAATGTTCTTTTAAAATGTATATACCTTACGCTTGTTAATTCAAATGCTGATTTGCCCACCCCCAACTCTCTGGTTTCAATCTGGATATTGCATTGTGAAACTCACTCTTGTGTAAACAGGACACAAATAAAGCAACTAGATACAATGTTGTGCAATGGGAGGAGCCAGAAGGCAGGAAAGGAGTGGGAGGAGAAGAGCACGAGGAGAGCAGAGTGGGAGGAGAGAGCTTGGAGGACTTAAAGCATGTACCAGACCTAAGATTTCACAAAAAGCAAGTAAAATGTGGGAAATCTAAATGTTAGGAAACTGAGGGCTTGGAGGTTTAGGAGGGAGTAAATATTGCGCAGCATTGTGTTCTAGGTTAACTAAAAACCCAGTCTCTGTGTGGTGATTTGGTTATACAGCTGCTGAGGATTAACAGCAGCGTTACAAGAAGATAAACCCATAGTAAATATTAATAACTAACTACAACAGTGTGTGTTTTTGTTTTGGTCTGTATGTATCTATATCTATGTATGTATGTATGTATGTATGTATGTATGTCTGTCTGTCTGTCCTGGAACTTGCTCTGCAGATCAGGCTGGTTCCTTTGAGCTTTTCTGAGCTTCCCTGCAGGATGGAATGTTTCAATCTTGAGAACACTGTCACACAACACACTCCTCTCCCAGTTTCTTCACAATGTCAATAGATTAGCCATGATGTTCTCCTTTGATGTTGGGACAAATACTTAAGAAGATGCCTAAGGAAGTCTCTTGGGCACACTGGGGTTCTTGAAGTCCTTTTTGGTCTCATTTTGTGAGGGAAATATAGGTTTCTGTTTTTGCTTTTTCTTTGTTGTTTTTTCGGTTTTGACGTAGGGTTTCTCTGTGTAGATCTGGATGTCCTGGAAGTAGTTTTATAGAGCAGGCTGCCCTCAAACACAGAGATCCTGCCTCTGCCTTTCGAGAGCTGGGACCAAAGGCATGCGCCACCATGCCCGGGAAGGTTTTCATTTCTCATTCATAATCTGCCTTGTCAGCCTTTGCCAAGTCTTTACACACACACACCCTTTATTTTTCCAAGAGCGGTGGCATTTTCCTGCAATTCCAAGATTTGAGAAGTTGAGGCAGAATTGCTACAGTTTTGAGGGCAACTTTAGCTACATAGTAAGTTCAAAAGCAGCATGGGCTACATATTGAGACTGTCTCAAAAGGGGAGTTAGGCTGGAGAGAGGACTCATTGGATAAAATACTTAGTGTTCACACATGATGAACTGTGTGAACATGTTGATCTGTGGTGAATACCTCAGGATATATACATACATAAAACATTATATACATTAAAACAAGAGCTCAGTATGTAACACCAACTGGCCAGAACTCAGATTTCCCTGCTTTTGCCTCCTAAGAGTGCTGAGATTAAAAGTATGTGCTACCACACCTAGACCTCACTTTTTTTTTGACTTGTTCTTTAATTGAAGTATCCTTGTGTAAGAATAGCAGGAGTAACTGTGGTTTTGTTTTGATGGGCTAATTCAGGGAAGATCTTCCAAATTGATTTTTTTTTTCTTTTATTTTCTTTTTTGGCTTTTGTACTCAAGGAGGTAGAACTTCAGAGGCTTGACACCATGCAGGTGCTGTACTGTTAATTCTTATTCTTACCTTCTTCTCTGCTTCCTCCTGAGGCAGGGTCTCACTATGTATCCTGGAGCTGGCTAGGCATGTCTTTTGCTGGCCTCTAATTCACAGAAATCTGTTTTTCAAATATTCTGAGTGCTGGGATTAAAGATTTGCACCACCTTATTTTTTAATTTCTTTCTTTTTTTTTTTTTTGTTTTCAAGACAGGGTTTCTCTGTGTAGCCTTGGCTTTATGAACTCCTTGAAGACCAGACTAGCCTCGAACTCATAGAGAATCGCCTGCCTCTGCCTCCCAAATTCTGGGATTAAAGGGATGCATGAGCACCACCTGGCTCACCTTATTCTTGACAGGTGGCAGTGTTAATATATTAACAACCGCTTAATAAAATTAAACATATATCTAAAATACACACAATGTACAAAAGTCTCATTTTATTCTTTTGGCTTTTTTTTTTTTTTTTTGAGTTTCTCTGTATAGCCCTGGCTGTCCCGGAACTTGCTCTGTGAACCAGGCTGCCCTCAAACTCAGAGATTCATCTATCTGCCTCTGCCTTGCAAGTGCTGAATTATTTCCTTCTTTATTCAGATAGTTTCCATTGCTAGGAAATGAACCCTGGCCTTCAGCATTCTGCACAAGTGCTTTACCACTGAGGCCCCTGAATCTTTTTCCATTTTACTCCCACCCCAACAACTAATTAGAGCCTTCATTTGAACAGTGTGTAATGATCACATATCTGATAGCTTAGAGGAAAAGGCAGTTTTTCTCTTACCGCAGCTAGCATTAAAATAATTGAGACTGAACTATTATATTTAACAAGCTTCGCAGCACAAGAACCGAGCAGTTACTACTCTATTCTTAATGCTGGCTTCCTCCCAGTGCAAATCCCGACAGACAGGAGGCAGAAGCAGGAGCCTGGTCTACACAAGGCGTTTCAATACAGCCAAGGCTATAAGGGTAAACCCCTTCTTGAAAAACCAACAAACAAAACAACCCTGAAAGTTTTTTGGGGGAGGGATATGGGATAGAGAGTGGTTAAGGGCATGTCCTGCTCCTATAGAGGACTCAGGTTCTATTTACAGGATCCATATATATTGGACATCTCCAAGCATTCAAGTTCCAGGTTGTTTGATGACCTCTTCTGGCCTCTGAAGGCATCTGCAAGCATGTGGTACACATGCATACACTCAAGTCCATATACATATACAGAAAAAATTTTGTTTTTAAAGAGGGAGTAGCAGGTATAGTAGCAGTGTTTAATCCCAATACGCCTTTGAGAGAAGAGGCAGATAGCTCTTTATGAGTTTTGAGGCCAGTCTGGTTTGCATATTATGTTTTAGGCAAGTCAGGGCTACACACAATGAGGCCTCATATCAAAAACAGCAAAAAAAAGTTCTACAACGAAGTTCATGCTGTCAACACTTCCCCTCCTGTATTGCAAATTCCAGAGGTGAGATGGGGTGGGCAGAGAGAGGGGGGAAGAGGAGAGGGAGAATTTAGTAAACCTTATTTTCACCAGAGAATATCAGCAATAAAGGGACTTGGACCCAATTTTTATTTCTAGTTGAAATTGGTATGTCATACTGATTCCCACGATGCAGAATACTCCAAATGGATCAGACTGCCTGACCACCTGTCTAGTAACAGTTATAAATGAAGAGTATATCAAGCTATATACACAGTTTGTATTCAAGTCATACAGCAGAATAACATGTTTCCACACTGATGGTCACAGCACAATGCCAAATCAAGACAGCAAAAGAACCAGGACCTCTAAAGCCACAGAGGAGCATATATGGTTCCCAGCACTTACACATCTGCTAACAAAGGTGCGGTGGTGCTGGCCTGTAGTCCCAGCACTCAGCGAGGCAGAGGCAGGCAATCTCTGTGTTCAAGGCCAGCCTGGTCTACAAATTGAGTCCAAGCCAGCCTAGGCTACACAGTGAAGCCCTGCTTTGAAAAGCCTAATCAATCAATCTGTAACTTTAGCTCCAGGGATGTGACACTTTCTTCTGGCCTCTGTAGGAACCAGGTACACACATGGTACACAGAACATACAAACAGGTGAAACACAAAACTAAAGCGTCCCATTTCCTGAAGTATCTGCACAGGCCTCTGAGAGTGAAATGGCACTTTGGAGACATCTCAAAGCTCTGTTTACATTCAAATCTGTCAGTTTCTATCTCTGTATAATGTATTTTAGTTCATGCCTACCCGAACTCCTTATGTATACCAGGTTGGGCTTGAACTAGGGGGAAGCGTGAGCTTCTCTTGTGCTGGGATTACAGGTGTAAGCTTGAATGACTAAAAATGACCTTTTTTTGTAGGCAGGGTTTAATATACCCAAGCGTGGCCTCACGCCTGCTATTTGCTCCCACCCCGACTGCGATGATGACAGGCCTGCTGTGACGTAGCCTAATGCAGTGCCGCAGACCAAGCCCATGGCTTTCTGTGTGCTAGGCAAGCACTCTACCTACCGAACTACATCCTTGGCCTGAAAAGGTACCATCTAACAAGAATGGATTCTTCTAAAAAATTCTATCATGCAGCATCATCACTAAGTCTGCAAGTGTTCCCACTCAGAAGAAAGCATCTCCTTTGGTCATTATTAATAATGGCACTGTTTCACAAGAAAAAGCCCCAAATGGAAAACCTCCCTAAAACAAAACAAACAAAAAACACACATTCCTAGAAATTTAATTTTAACACCAGAAATCAACAAGAGATAAAAACTCAAATTTAGTGAGCAGGACCCTCAATGGCCATCAAAGTTATTAGATTTGCTGCTTCTTCGGAAAAAAACAAATGGCTGATGAAGCTGGTGCAGAGGAGGGCCTGGAGGCCCAGGCTCGAGAGGCCTCCCGAGAATTGCAGCAGTGGCCGTGGCTGTGTGCTCCTAGAGGGCAGAACTGGAAACTCATCCCCAAGCTGGGACACCTAGTCAAGGACATGAAGACCAAGTGTCTGAAAGAGATCTACCTACCTGTTTGTTCTCCAAAAGCAATCTGATATTACTGAAGCAGATTCAGGCAGGCCAGAGGACCAGGTTCACATTGGTGTAGGTGTTAAATGCTCCAAGGAGGTAGCCACTACCACACAAGGGGCCATCACCTTGGCCAAGTTTTCCACCTTCTGTGCAGGAGAGGCTACTGGGGAGCAAGACTGACAAGCTCCCACAAGTCCAAGCAAGGGGACAGACCACTGCAGCTCTGTGTTGGTGATCTCACTCCCGCCCCGGGAGGCACTTGTGTTGTCTCTGCTCCTGTGCCCAATAAGATGCTGCCAATGACTGGTATTGATGACTCACACACATCAGCCAGGGCCTGCACTGCCATCATGGGCAACTTTGCCAAAGCCACCTTTAATGCCATCTCCAAGATCGACAGCTACTTGGACCCCAACCTCTGGAAATAGACAGTGTTCATCAACTCTCCTTGCCAGGAATTCACTAACCATCTTGTGGAAACCGACAACAGTCTCCATTCGGAGGACCCAAGATTCAGCTGTGGCTACCATATAAGACTGTTTTTGAGACAGGCAACCCTGGCTGTCCTGAAACTCGATTTGTAGACCAGGCTGGCCTCGGGCTCAAGAGATCTGCTTGCCTCTGCCTCCCCAGCACTGAGATTAAAGGTGTGTGCCACCACTCCTGGCTCCATATAAGTTTTTATACAAAAAAAAAATAAAGTGAATTAAGTCTGAAGAAAAAATTCTTTAGATTCAGAGTTTCTCAAATTTCAGAGTACACTTTTACAGAAAAATGTAACCATGACACTGAAGTTAGCTATATATACATATATATGCATACACACATTTAAATATACACACATATTTTTAATGTTTCTTAGTCATACTAACATAAGATAGCTATATATTTTTTGTAATTTTCATAATAAAAGCTAAAATATTTACATATGAAATTGAAAACAAAATATAAAATACAAATTACCTTTACTTACTGTAACAAGCGAACTGTTTTGCTCAAATAGAAAAACATGTAAAGAACAATTTGGCTTAATAGCAAATAATTGTAGCTTCAGATCATTTTCTGTTCTTAAGCTTCTTGAATGTATATATAGCTTGTTTGTTTTTGTTTTGTGAGATAGGGTTTCTTACGGAGCTCTGGCTGTTCCAGAACTCACTCTGTAAACCAGGCTGGTCTTAAACTCAAGAGATCTTCCCATCCTTGCCTCTGAGTACTGGGATTAAAGGTGTAAGCCATCAGTGCCTTGCTTGAATATATTTTCTTTAGATTATTACATATACAGCTTGTCTTTTCTTGCTTTTAGGTCATTAAGTGGAAGTCCTGTAAGAACAACTTTACAAAGTGAGAACCCTCAGAGTGACAAAACTCAAACTGCTTTTACTAAAAATCTGTAAGAATCACTATTCACTCCAATTGAATGATGCTTTTACATCTGAAACAGGAACATTTTTACTATTTGTTTGCTATCGGGCACAACGCTAATAAACTCCTGTAAATCCCTCCACTTAAAAGCACCACAGTGGTGCTGGCTCCAGGTACAAAACTCTTCTGGGTGAGGCAGACCCCGCAGCGTCTGCAGCAGACAGGCTTTACGTATATAGCAGGAGCACACCATTTTCCCCACCTTCACAATATGGACGTTCTACAGCTTCACTGCATTTACCGTTCAAGGTAGATTTTAACTTTGAATACTTAGCACTATTGTTGATGTGCATCTCACTTTCTTCATGTTTACTAAGGATATGTGACAAATGCTGCCAATCTTTGCACCCATTCTCATTTCTCAGCTGATTTTTCCCTTCCCCAAAGAGTCTGCAATATAGGCAAAACACAGAGTCTTTAGAGACTGAATAAAGTAGCCAGGATCTGGTGGCCTTCTCACCACTTGGAAGAATTCGTGTGTAGTATGTTTCTGAAAACTTCCTCCCTGTGCTATCTTTTGGAAAATTACAGTTTCTTATTTGAGGTGGATCATTTTTTACAAGAAAATCACGCTGTTTCATATTCAAAATTTGGGGCCATGAACCTGGATCTGAAGAAAGTACTACAGTTGACATAGCAAATTCTTCTGAATTTTTGTCTCCCTGTTGCTCTTGAAACATATCAGGGGCTGCTGTCACAGAAGAAAGTAAATTCTCACTTTGCTCCCTCGATGATGTATGCAGGCTACATTCTGCTGCAACTTCTATTATCTCTGAAATCTTTTCCTTTTTTTCTGGTATTTGTGTTTTTTCCGAAAGTGTACTTGATGATTCTTGTAACTTTCTTTCATTTTCTTCTAGGATAGCTTTCCTTTTCCTATTTTGTAAAAGTAGTATTTTTGATTTTGTTTCCATTATCTGTAAAAAAAAAAAAAAAATTACAATTTTATGGACATTTTAAAAATTGAAATAAGTCCCCCTGAGGGGAGAGCAGTCTTGCCAGGCCACAGAGTAAAACAATGCAGCCAGTCTTGATGAGACCAGATAGGCTAGGGTCAGATGGAAGGGGAGGAAGACCTCCCCTATTAGTGGACTTGGGAAGGGGCATGAAAGGAGGTGAGGGAGAGAGGTTGGGTTTGGGAAGGAATGAGGGAGAGGGTTACAGCAGGATACAAAGTGAATAAACTGTAATTTATAAAAATATAAATATTTTTTAAAGTGAAAAAGAAATACAGAAATAAGAACAGGCAATGATTCATTTTTAGTTTAGTTTAGTTTTTTTTTTTTTAAAGCATACTGAGGCATGCAGCAAAACACTCTTATTCACAAAATACATTTAAAAAACAAAGTTAGGCATAGCATCTTATACCTACCAGGATTTCTACAATTGACAGAAAGTGAAGAGTAGAAACATGATAGTGATACAGGGAAAATTAGAACATCACTAAGGCTTTGGTAGAAATTTAACAGGGTGAGTCAGCTTCGGAAAGCAGTTTGGCAATTTACCTAACATTATTAACACATGATACATACAGAGAAAGTACAGATCTAAGATAAACATGTCAACACAACCATTCAATGGAATTTTATGGTAATAAAAGCTAAGCATACGTCAGGAGTGATGGAACATGTCTTTGATCTCAGCACTCAGAGAAGCAGAGGCAGGAGGAACACTGTGAGTTTGAGGCCAGCCTGGTCTACAAATAAGAGTCCAGGACAGCCAAGGATACACAAGAGAAACCCTGTCTCAAAAAAGACAAAAACAAAGAAAGAGAGAGAGGAAGAGAAAGAGAGAGAGAGAGGGAGAGGGAGAGAGAAGAAGGAGGAGAAGAAAAAAGCAAGAAAAAAGAAAAAAGAAAGAGAGAGAGAGAGAGAAAAGGCAGTGTGCTGGCTAGTTTATTTATGAGATATGTGCCTTAGGGGCCAGATGTCTCCTTGTGTTGGAGTCACAGCGGTTAGTGATCCATCTGATGTGGTGCTCTTAACCACTGAGCCATCCTTCTGGCTCCCTATTAAAAAATAATCTAGATATTATTCAGTGATATGACTAATGACAGTGTTTTAATTTTTCCTTTTTGTTTTGGTGGTGTCGTGGGGACTTAACCTAGGACTGTGTGTATACCAAGGAAGTCCTCTGCTACTGAGCTATCCCCAGCCCTATTTTTATTTAAAATGTTCATGTATCATGAAGGTTTCTCTGCTACTCTCCTCTGAAGATCTATTACTGATCACTTTGAAACAGGTCAAGATCTGGACATTCAGCTGTGGCCTGTTTTGTTTACACATATTTCCCCATCTTTACTTTCTTCTCTTCACTTTATACTCTATGTGCAAACCTTATATTATTATTTATGCATGTTTATGTATGCATATATGTTTATGCATATGTGCGTGCATGTATGTGGATACATGCACTCGAGTATGTACAGTCACAGAACATTTGAGGTCTTGTTCCAAACACATGGTTATATAGGCAGCCTAGTTAAACTCAGTGAGTTACAAAACAACAACAAAAAGACGTGGTATTCTGAATGAGCTGTCTACTCTAAGTCTCAGGTATTTGAATACTTGTCCCCAGTTGGTGGCTATTCAGGGTCGATTTAGGAGGTGTGGCCTTGCTGGAGGAAGTATATGTATCACTGCAGAAAGGCTTTAAGGTTTCAATAATTTTATCATTTTCCATGTGCTCTCTCAACTTCCTGTTTGTGATTAAGGCTGTGAGCACCCAGCTACTGCTCCAGCTGCCTCCACTTCACCATTTGAACTATTACCCTCTGAAATAGTGAACCCCACATAAGCCCTTTCTTCTATAAGAACAGGGCAGCCTTGACCTCAGAGATTGACCTCTTTGGCTTCTCTAGAGCCAGGAGTAAAGGCACACACCACCATCCCTGTTATCAAAACTAAAAGCCCAGCATGGTGGTACACATCTGTATGTGAGTGCTCCTGCAGCACGCACTGGGCATGGCAACAAGACAATCACCAGAAGGTTGAAGGTCAGGGAGCCTGGAGTATGCATTATGTGTGTCTCTCAAACAAGGCAGAGGGTAAGGACAGACAGCCCAGGTGTCTGTAAACTTCACATGTAAGCACTTATACGCATACAAACACATGCACACATACACTCTCAAAGAACTAGGGACTAGAGAAATTACCTCAGCAGTTAAGAGCACTGGCTGCTCTTTCAGAGGATCTGGGTTTGATTCCTAGCACTTACATGGTGGCTCACATCTGTCTGTGACTATAGGTACAAGGGATCCAAAATCCTTTTCTGGCCTCTGAGGACATCAAGGATGGATAAGCATGCAGGAAAACATGCAGGTAAAATTCCCATGTACATAAAATATATTACAAAAACAAATAAAACAAAATTACCTCTTTATATACGTTGGCACAGTCCTGGCAGCAGAATCTCTTTTGCTGACCTGTAATCAGGATACTGTGTCCAGTATTCTTGGGCATATACTTGCCACACTGTTCACAGCAGTTCATTATCAGACCATTGGTCAGTCTGTACTCATTAAAGCAATTGTTACTGCACAATTTATGTGTTACATGGTTAATACTGATTTCATGGCGAACCTAAAAGAAAACAAAAAATTTTTAAGACAGCATTATACAATTTATTGCCCTACAGTATTTAGATCCTCCCTTACAATATTTGGGAGGCAGATGAAGAGAATCATTACTCACAATTAGAATGGAGTCTGCATCTAGCAATAAGATGGTTCTGAAGTTGTAACTGAGATAAATTAATGTCCTTGGTTTAAATGGCCTCCAAAGTTACTCCACATCAGACTTAGTTACCAAGGACAATGTAAACCAAGGGGCTGCCTGAAATGTATGGCTCTTCCTTTTCAACATGTATCAAACCATTTATCCCATCCATTCTTGTAGAACTATTGCTTCCTTCATTGGCCTGAAATTACTGAATTATCACAACTAAAGCCACAGAAACAGGCATGTCCTGTCTACACTATGAAACTTTATATGTATAAAATAGCTTTGGCTGTCTGTCCTGGAACTTAACTCTATGGAGACCAGGCTGACCTCAAATTCAGAGATCTGCCTGCCTCTGCCTCCCAAACGCTGGGATTAGAGGTGTGCACCACCACTCATTGGGTAAATTTTTTTGCTTGGTTATTTTTGTTTTTTAAGACAGGGTTTCTCTGTGTAGCCTTGGCTGGCCTTGAGCTCACAGAGATCTCCTGCTTCTGCCTCTGGAGTGCTGGGATTAAAGGCGTGTGCCACCACCACCTGGGAGCAAATTTTTTTAAGTAACATCCTTAGTAGTCCTTCCAACATGAATATTTAGGATATGGACATTAGTAAATGGTAGAGCTTATACTGTACTTAAACTTAACATTATTTCTATTAGCCTAAATAGTAACAGTAGAAAGAGCAGACCTCTCCTAATTTATTACAGATTATACATCTTGACTTAATATAAACGTCTTTTCTAAGAGTCTGGTGGTCGTCATGAGGAGACAGAGATGCACTATAGAACTCTGGGAAGGACTTGCTTGACTCTACTGGAGGAGCCTTCATTGCTGTCCTCAAAGGAGACTCTCTGAAACACAAAGGAGAAACAAACATCTGAAGAACACTACTTTAAATGCACTTTCAGCTTCACTTCCACTATTTCCTAAATAATACAGAAAATTCAAATGAAAACTCTTGTGGGGAGATGGCTCAGAACTTAAAGTGCTGCCTGCTCTTCCAGAGGTCCGGAGTTCAATTCCTAGCAACCACATGGTGACTCACAACCATCTATAATGATATCTGGAGCCCTTTTCTAGTGGTTAGGCAGAACACTGCATGCAAACAAACAAATAAATAAATCTTTTAAAAATTTTGGTCTTAAAAAAAAGAAAAGAAAACTCTGTTGTAACATTGAATTTCCTTAGTATTCTAGGCTTAAAACTGCTAGCACTTGGGGCTAAAGAGATGGCTTAGCCATTAAGAGCACTGTCTGCACTTACAGAGAACCCAAGGTCAGTTCTCAGCACCCACATGGACATGTGGCTTAAAACTGTCTATAATTTCAGTTCCAGTCAACCTAGTGACCTCTTCTGGCCTCCAAGGGCACCAGGCATACAGAGTGCACTTAGATAGACACAGGCAAAACACTCATACAGATAAATAAATCCTTACAAAAAATTCAAATCAAGGCACTAGTAGGAAAAGACAAAACCAATGGGGTTAAATAGATAGTTCATTGGTACCAGTACTATACATATAGAAAACCTGAGCTTGATTCTTAACCCACATCAGGCAGCTCAGTACCACCTTTTAACTCCAGCTATAGGGTGATGAAATGTCTGACTTTTGTGGGCACTCACATGTACCTACACACAAGCGTACGCACGCACAACCTAAGTTTTTTTTCTTTATTTTTATTTTATGTGTATGGTTATTTTGCCTGCATGTATGTCTATGTATTCATGGGTGCAGTGCTGATAGGGGCCAGAAGATTGTGTTGGATCCTCTAGAATCAGAGTTAACTAGAGTCAACCTGGATGCTAGGAATAGAACTAAGGTCTTCTGGAAGAGTAGCAGTACTCTAAAGCACAGAGCCATAGCCATCTCTCTAGCCCCATAAAAATCTTAAAAAATGTTGGTAGTGGGCCCAGGGAAATGGCTCAAAAAGAAAGGGCACGTAGTGCAATGGGTAGGTTGGCAGAACTAACATGTAAGATGTAGAAAGCCGAAGGCAAACATAGCATCTGGGAGAGAGGTAGTATACTTCTGTATCTATATACATCCTTCGTTAAAACTACAGTACAAAAGAACCTATAGTTCCAGAACAATGCAATTTCAATAAACTTGAAAACATCTCTGTAATGCAGGCGTCACTATTCTAGCTCACAATTATATCCAGAATATTTATTTATACTGGTAATTAAGCCACATGGAGAAACGTTGAGGTCTGCTTACTTTTTACATGTTATATTCCTTGTCTTTCGAGTACGTTTATGAGAGAAAGAAGAAAGGCAGGTGGTTGAACAGAAGAGGTGAGCTGATCCTTTTCGTTGATAAGCTGTCTGTCCCTTCTGTAGAGGATTTTTGCAGTTTGCACAAGTGATTTTAGCAGGTTTAGTAAGATGCTGTTGGTTTGAAGGCTGGAAATTCTGTTTAGGAAGTGAGGCCACTGGTGATAAAGAATCCACCCCTTGTTGTTTCTGATTACGAGGAAATGATGCTGACTGGGAGATCCAAGAATCTTAAAAATAAAATGCAGAACAAAAGTCACAGAATAAATAAAAATACACATTAGGACAATATTTGAATTTAAGTGTTTAAGAGACTCATAAGCATATGGGAAAGGCAAAATAACTCTGACAATCAACCCAGGATTCCTCCTACTGTTTGAATGGGTATTCAATGTTTCGTGAGGGTTCATGTGTTTCAACACTGGGTTTCCAGCTGGTGGATACAGGGCCTTACCGGGGGAGAGAGGGATTAGGGGAAGGGCTTAAGGTTACAGCACCAGCTATTTAAGAAGCAAGTGTTATCCTGCATGGTGGTACAATCGATACTCATAGTATGATGAAAATAAAGACAGGAGGATGATCACACGTTTGAGGCCAGTAAGACTATCTCTAAAAGCAAATGTTTCAGGCAGCTGCCATTGGCTCCTCTAGCTTTGGAGTTGCTTGTCATATTTCTGGGCAGCAATGGCTTGTGTTCCCTTAAACTGAGCCAAACTATGTCCTGCCTCCCTTTTTGTTCTTGCTTTTTTTTTTTTTTTTGAAGATTTATTTATTATGTATACAGTGTTCTGCCTACATGCCAGAAGAGGGTTCCAGACCTCATGATAGATAGTTGTGAGTCACCATGTGGTTGCTGGGAATTGAACTCAGGACCTCTGGTAAGCATCCAGGACTCTTAATCTCTGAGCCATCTCTCCAGCCCATGTCCCACCTCCCTTAAGCTTGTATTTAATAAGACATATATACATATACACACATACTCATATGATTACAAACTTTGCATTTTAAAAAATGAACGTGTTCCCTAGGATTATGCAATGTGGCAGGCCACTAGCTATTTGCAGACTCCATAAGCACAAAATCTGTCTCCTGAATTTACTAATTATGCAACAACATTACACTCTATGAGTTTGTTGTTTCTTTGTAGTGCTGGAGATATATAAACCAGCTCATGGTTCTACCAGGGAGCTAAATTTCCAGCCCTCTGGCTTGTTTTTCTCTGTTATATGTTGAAATTACACCTAATTCTCCAATAATATTAGGAATAAATGAAATAGTGCACATTCTATTTACTGTAGAGTAAATAGATGCTGTACTCTGGGATCAAACTTTCTCTTTTTTACATTCAGATAGCAAACCACATTTAAGCAGTGGTAGGAATAAAACAGCAATCTTTACAAGATTTGTCAATATTAACACTACAGGGGAAATAAAACCTCAACTCTGAAAATAGTTTTGTTCTGTGGACTAACTAATACTTAAGCAAAGTAGGATACCATTATTATATTGCCTAAGATGTTTTTTTTCCCCCGAGACAGGGTTTCTCTGCATAACCTTGGCTGTCCTGGAACTCTTTTTGTAGACCAGGCTTGCCTTGAACTCTCAGAGATCCACCTGCCTCTGCCTCTGAGTGCTGAGATTACAGGCACGTGCCACCACACCAGGCTGCTAACGTGGTAATTTATCTGGGAAAAAAAAAATTCATTGTAGGTTTGGCACATAAATCAAGTGTGTCCATTTTTCTAATGCAACTATTTAAATTCCTAAATAAAAACTGGGTATGGGGCAATGACTAGCTGAATCTTAGGCCAGCTTGGGCCATAGGTATTCTGTCTTTAAATAAGTTAACTTACCAACTGGGAGAGAGGATGTTAGTGTTTCTATTCAAATTAAGTCTTAGTCAAAATTTTCCATGCCCCATGTTCATGATACATTTTAAGACCAGAAAAGGCTGTCTTACTCACCTTTCTATTGCTGTGAAGAGACATGACAACCAAGGCAAGTCTTATAAAAGAAAGCATTTAGTTAGACTTGATTACAGTTTCAGAGGGTTAGTCCATGGTTATTATGGCAGGAAGCAGGAAGACATGGTGCTGGAGCAGCAGCTGAGAACTTTATATTCTGACCAGCAGGCAGCAGGCATAGAGAGAGACTAGGCCTGCTGTGAGTTTTTGAGGCCTATTTTATTTAGTCCAGATCTTTCAATGTAATATATGCCAAGGAAGCTGGGGGGGGGGGGGGGGGGGGGTACCTGTCTCAAAAATACAAAACAAACAAAAACCAAAACAACTCTCTCTCTCACACACACAAGCAATTAAGAACTAGAGCTCAGACAATTCATCCAAAAGTTTAAGTACTAGAACCACTGTAAATTTATGTTCCTTGCGTTCTGCAACTTAATTCACTTAGTCTGGCACCCTAGCTCCAGGGATTACATGATTCTATCTCCCATGTGCTAGAATTTCAGAAAGGCTGACACAACCACCAGCTTTTATGTGCATTCTAGAGATCTGAACCCTGGCCTTTGTGTTTAGACAGCAAGCATTTACCTGTGAGCTATCTCTCCAGCTGGATATTTTCAGATTTTTATCTTATTATTCTTAATAGAAACAGGAAATACCTGGTTACTAAAAGTATACAATTCTTTACTCAATGTCATAGGATGATTATCATATCATAGCCAGAAATGCCTATAAAACAAAGCACAAGGATGACAAGAACAATTTCTATAGGATCTTTCTTTTGGAGGTGACAGGGTCCCATCGTGTTGTCCTGGCTAGACTCATTAAAGATCCACCTGCCTCTGTGTCCCCAGTGCTCAGATGAAAGCCTCTGACGCCTGGACCTTTTTCTTCAGTTTTTAAGGTAACGTCTCATTAACACCTGCTGGCCAGACTGAAATCCTCACTCCTCAGTACTAGGTTACAGGTATGCACCATTACCCTCAGTCCTTAAAACCATTAAAATAATCAAACCCCCAAATTACTCTCTCCTTAAAACTCTTAAACTCCACATACATAGCTTTGGAAAAGCCCTAAGAGCCATTTCTCTGGCCCTTAAAATAGTTAAGATATGACTCACATCAGATTAAAAATATTACTCTCTCTAAATTACACATACAAATAGATTTCACAGTTATATTAACAATCTATCTTACTATGAAAGCCAATAAATTATTTTATACGGGATGTAACAGGAGTTCTAAGAAGAACAGCTATGGGAGCTGAGGAAATGGCATAGCGTAAAAAGGTTTGTCCCACAACTGTGCAAGGATGAAGACCTGAGCTTGATCCCAAATAAAAGTGGAAAACAACAGACAAAAGGCAGGCAATGAGACAGCTTAGTCAGCAGAGTCAGCTGCAGCCTGAGAACATGAGTTGGATCCTTAAGACCACACACAGTAGAAGAGAACTGGTCCCTGCAAGCTGACCTTCTGACCACTACATGAGTTGTAGCAAACACACCATCAGTAATAAATATAATCTAGATTTTTTTTTTAAGTTAAGCCAGGAATGGTGGCATATACCTTTAATCCCTGCACTCAGGAGGCAGGAAGATCACTGAGTCTGAGGCCAGCCTGGTTTACACAGCGAGTTTCAGAGCAGCTATGGCTACATGGTGAGACCCTTAACAGACATTTTTTCTTAAAGCTAAAAAAGAAATATAGAGATAGATAGATAAATAGAACTGGTAATCTTCAGGGTCAGTAAAACAAACAAACAACAACAGAAACTACAAACCTGCTTCAACACCTAAGGTAGAGACCAAGAGAAGAAGATAGCTCTGGCCGTCAGGCACATGTATACAGTCACATAGAAATCTAAACTTACTTGAATACAAGGCAAATAATACAATTTACTGCTTACCAGGATTGAGATGAGCAGCAATTCTTCCATTCTGAAGCGCATCTGTGACATCAATCCTACCAGGATTAAAAGGTTCTACTGCAGTCTTGGTCTGTAAAGTTAAAGATGAGGTGTATGCTTGTATATTAACACTAAAGCCTTTGTGTTATCTCCCAAACTAATACCCTATAGTGACATACAATCATTAAGCTCCTAGCATTTTGGGCTTACCCCACTCTGAAGTTAACATTAGTAACATCAGAGTTGATTCTGTTGTGATACCATTAGTAACCCTTCCTGAATTTACCTTACTTCTTGATAAACTGGAAATGGAGAAATCCAGATTTTTGGCACTACTTTTATTTCCATGAGGTAGGATAAAATCGGTAGGCTTTTTCTCCTCCCTTCCACTTATTTCTGTGTCCCCTTCATCATCAATTACAATTGTTTCACATATATTTCCCTTCTGAGATGTCAAATCTCTTGAAGAAGGGGGAATTATGGAATAATTTCCTCGTGGATTTTCATGTTTTGAAGATGCAAATACAAAGTTTCTTTCATTAGTGACTGCTGGAGCACAAACTGGAGGCTGTATTGATTCAATAAACACGACATCATCATCATCCACAGCTGAGTCTCTAGATGTACTGACTGAAGAACTTGATGGATCACCAAATGACTCCATATCTGGGAGAGGCGCTGCCATGGCCCTACCCCCTAATACAGCATGAGTCTGGACGCAGTCAGCTGATCTTCCCAAGTACTTATGCACACCAAAGAATCTGTAAGAGACAGAAAGAGGGTTCTTTCATTTTCCTGCAATAATAGCACTGATAAAATTTTAAAAACCATTAATGTCAAGCTCATTCTGTTTTTCCTGTTAATCACTTTATATTAAATTCTGCTTCTTTGTAGAGTTTGATGGAAAATATGCAATATGATGGTCCTTTAACACAATCAATTGTGCTACTACTCTCCACTTAAAACAAAAATGGCCTAAGATTTCTTTGAATTTAAAATAATAAAATCTGGACTGGAGCGATCGCTTGGCAGGAATGCCTCTTGCTCTTCTTCTAGAAGACCCAAGTTGAGTTTCCAGCACCCACCAGGAGGCTCACGAGTGTCTGCAACTCCAGCTCCAGGGGATCTGACACTCTATATAGAGTCCACAGGCCCCAGTGCCCACATGCCCACCCACTGTGATGCTTTGAGTAGAGGGACCCCACAGGCTCATGTGTTTGAATGCTTGGCCTATAGGAAGTGACACTATTAGGAGGTGTGGCCTTCTTGGGGCAAGCTTTGCCATTTTGACCATGTGCCTTCTTGCACCCTTCTCTCAGGACTCATCTCTCGCTACCCTTCACCCCCATAGCCCAGTCTATTCTGCTGGCCATGTTCAGTTTACTGCTTTATCTTCTTGCTCTAGATTCTTCCAGATGCTTCTGGCTGCACTTTCCTCATCTGAAATAAAAAACAAAACCTCAACCACACCCTGGAACAGTCATGTCCTCATCTCATTGAATTGTAAGTTTTCACTGAGTTGTTTAGACTTTGTTTTGCCTGCATGTATGTCTGGTGTGCCTGGGTGTCAGGAAAGCATCAGATCCCCTGAGATCCAGTCAATGGTGGTTTTGAGCCACCATGTGGGTGCTGAGATCCAAAAAGTGTTAATAATGGTTGAACAACCTCTCACAACTATTTAAACTTTCAAAGCACAGGCCCTCAACCTGTGGGTCAAGACACCTTTGGCAAACCTCTACCTCCAAAAATATTTACATTACAATCCATAACAGTAACAAAATTACAGTTACAAAGTAGCAACCAAAATAATTTTATGGTTGGGGGTCACCACAACATGACAGACTGTTATTAAAGGGCAAAGAATTAGGAAGGTTGAAAATCACTGGTTTTTGTTGTTTGTTTTTTTGAGACAGGGTTTCTCTTCATAGTCTTAGCTGCCCTTGAACTGACTCTGTTTACCAGGCTGCCCTCAAACTCACAGAGATCTCCTGCCTCTGCCTCCCAAGTGGTGGGATTAAGGCATGTGACACCACTGCCCAGGGAGAACCACTGTTTTAAAGCACAGAATTTTTTAAAAAAATGTTTACTTAATTTTGCATGTGCCTGAGTATGTGTATATATGTATGTGTGTGTGTGTACCATAAACATGCAAGGGCTCAGAAGCGGCATCAGATCCCTTGGAATTGGAGTAAAAACTGTTGTAAGCTGTATGTGAGTGCTGGGACTCAACCCAGGTCCCCAGCAAGACTAACAAGTGCCTTTAAAGGAACAGTCATCTCTCTAGCAACCCCCTCCCAATCTCCATTTTCCCAAGACAGCGTTTTTCTTTCTAGCCCTGGCTATCTTTGGAACTTGCTCTGTAAATTCGCTGCCACACCCTTGTCCAATCTTCATTCTTAAAAGTGAGATAGAGAATTCTACAATTTGACTCTGTGCTAGCTTTAAAAGGGTACATCTGATGGGGACTGGAGAGATGGCTCAGTCTTTAACAGCATTTGCTGCTCTTCTAGAGGACCAGAGTTCTGATCCAACACCCAGCTGATCCCAGCTCTTTCTTCTGTCTTCCTCGGGAACACACTGGCAGACACACACAGTCTAAATATTTTTTAAAAGTAAGAACACCATGTCTAAAAAGTACTGTAGAAGAAATCACAGGGGCTGGGGCTGGAGAGATGGCTCAGAGGTTAAGAGCACTGGCAGTGGATTAGAATTCCAGTCCCAGTGTAGGCAGCAACCTGCTGTCTAGTTCTGAAGGATCCACTGCCCCCTACTGGATGCCTTGAACACTGCATCGAAGTAGCACACATACTTGCAGCACAATACCTAGACATGAACTAAAAGTTGCTCTTCCTCAGTCTTACAACTTTTGTCAGTGATCTGCTCACTATTTTCGTTGTTGTTTTGTTTTTTCGAGATAGGGTTTCTCTGTGTAGCCTTAGCTGTCTTGGACTCACAATTTGTTTACTATTTCACATATTTTAATTAATTGTTAGTAGTTTAAAAAATACAACAGCAGAAAGAAATACCTATTGGAAAGGAAGACAAAAAATGTTAAGCACACACTTATGAATTGGAGCTTAATCCTACTTAGGAATTCTGGAGAAGAGCAACGCTGGAAGTAAAAAAAGGTGTGTTGTGTCTTCCCACAGGTCACACAGGCGAGGCTGTCCCAGCACAGACTACCCAAGACCACTCAATGCAACAGGAGACAGTCGATGCTACTAACTTTAAACAGGAGAGCTATGCAAAATGACTTACAGTAGAGATGTTTTCCTTATTTCTGCCGAATGCTTCACCACAATGGCTTGAGGAGCCTAGATTAAGAGGAAATTTAAAAAAACAAAAACAAAACAAAACAAAAAATCTTTAGCACCCATAGGTAGGAAGGAGCACCAACCCTGAACACCACCAGAGAAGGAAGTAAACCAAAGTTATTCCCGAGACTTTCCAGCAACCTTCTCCGAAAGATATGGATCAACTATTAATAAACGACAGCAGCCCAAGCTCGATCTATTGCCTCCAGTTTCAGAACGAGGAGTATACAGCGCACAGCCAAACGGAAGGGTAAACGCGGCCTTCGAGCCGGCAAGGGAATCAATCCTCTTTTTCCCAAGTTTAACCTTCGTCACCACCGTCACTCAAGTACCAGTGCGAGGGTGGAAGCGGTTCAACTGGCTCCCATTTGCCGCAAGCACTTGCCTGAGGCCTAAGGTTCCTATCTCCGCAGCTCACCGCAGGCAGCAGCTCAGCCTCGAGAACCTGCCCCCAATTAAGGCCAGAAGCAGCACAGCGCGATGAAGAGCGAAAAACAACACGCGGCGGGACTCAGGCGGCGCCCCTCCCCCGAAAACCCGGGGTCTCGGTCGGGCACGCAGGGTGGGCGCGGGCCCGGGCGGGAGGGCCGCTCGCCGCGCGGAGAACACCGTGCGCCCACCGACCGCCGCCGCCGGCTCTCCCGCCCCGGCCCGCCCCGCCCCCACCTCACCCCCTCTCCGCGCCCACCGGCCGCACGCGAAGCCGCCCGGGACCTGAGCGCGGCCCCCGGCGCACCCCGAGGCCCCGACGCAGCGGCGGCGACGCCGGCAGCCGCGGGCTGCGAAGCCCGGCTCGGTGGGAGGCTCCCGAGGCGGCCCTCACCCATCTCCGCCTCCCCCGTCGCCCCCGCCTCCGCCTCCTCCTCCCGAGGCTGCGCTGCTCCCAGCCACCCCCACTCCCCGCGGCCCTCGACAGGAGCGACAGCGGGCAGGAGCCTCACCCGGTCCTGGCTGCAGCTCCGCGGAACGAACCTCCCCTCCCCCGGCCCACCCGCCTCCGGCGACACGCACAACTCCGCTCGGTCCAGTCCCGGCTTTAGCGCTGGGGAGGAGGAGGTGGAGGAGGCGGCGGCGCGGCGGAGCCCCGGGAGGCCCCGCCCTCCGCGCGCTCATTGGCTGCCGGCGAAGGCGGCCCGGAACGCCTCGGGCACGTCCATTGGCTCGGGCGGCCTTCGCTCACGAGCCGCCCCGCCGAAGTCGTCGGAGCGCCTGTCCGTCAGGAGCGGGCCACGCCCTCGGGCCTGCCGTCCCTCCCCCCCGCCGTCAGCCCCGGGCTTAGCCGGCTCTCCCTGCCTCCCTCCCTCCTTCCCTCCCTCCCTCCCTCCCTCCCTCCCTCCCTCCCTCCCTCTCTCCGTCCCTCCCTCCGTGCCCCCGCCCCGCCCCGCCCCCACTCTCCGCCGGGTCCGCCGGGGTCAGGAGCCCGAGCGGTGCGGCCCGCAGTTCGGGTCGCGCTTCGGCCTCGGGGCGGGGGCTCCTCGTCGAGGCTCCGCGCGGTCCGGCCGCCCCGCCCGGGCCTCTAGACGGCCGCCGCGGCCCCCGGCGACCCGGCCCGCGCAGAGACGCGGCCTCGAGGCCCCGGCGTCCTCCCTGTCCGGGCCGCCGCGGCCCCGGCGACGGCCCCGCAGGCTCCCCCGCCGCGCCTCGCCCGAGGGACCGGTCCCCACCTCCGCCATGGCTGCGGCTGGAGGAGCCGTCGTCCTCCATCTTGTGGGCTCTGCCGGGAGGACTTGGGGCCCCTCCGGGCCGAGCCCCGCGGGGCGGGAACCCGGCCCGGCCCGCGCTCCGCCGTCGGCCTCCGCC